CATAGATTTCACTATAGATTCTATCTTTTAGCCTGCTTTAAAAAAAACAAAACACCTTAACAAGGAATAATTTTGTGTCACTAATTATTTTGACAGCTAAACTGGATACATAATGTTCCATTAGATGGTTGGAATATCCTTTACCCAATCCCTAAAGATCAGATATTTAGATAATTTATCCCCTCACCCCCACTATTATAAGCAGATTCCTATAATTGGGATAAAATTATAGGGGAAAAGTTCCTAAAGTTCTTACATCTTTGTTCACACAGTTACTATTTCCTTCAGAGAAATGCCTGGGTTTGAAGTTACAGAATCAGAGGGTAAGCTCCTTTTAACAGCCAAGTTTGCCCTCCACAAAGGTTGTTCTGATTTATATTCTCAGCAACAGTGTTTGAAAGTGCCTGTATCTCTCCAGAGTCACTGATGCTGGCTTTTATCACGTTTAAATATTTGTCAATTTGATAATTAAAAATGTCCTCTAGCTGGTTTAACCTATATTTCTAAGTTGATTAGAAATTTGGAACATTTCTTCAGTATTTACCAGCCATGTATATGTGTACATGTACTTCCTGGTAAAATGTCCAGTTTGTGTTTCCCTGATATATTTGTAAGACCATTTTATGCACCAGGGTGGGGAACAGTGTTCCCCACTTTGTTGATGAGGAAGCTGAGGTTCGGTGAGGGTAAGTGACTTGCCCAAGGTCACTTTGGTAGATCAGTGCTGGAACGGAGTCCTCCACCCTGAGATCTGCAGTCACTCTTTAGTACTGTGCCCACTACATCACGCTGATAGATGATCCTCTCCTATGGTCCTGGGGGAAGAAAATCAAGCCTGCCTTGTTTCAATTTAGTCTTGATTCTTAAAATAATCTATCCTCTAACATGCAGTCGTGTTAGCAGAGAAAATATGTTCCGCCACTTACCGCTAAAGAAGTGGAGATCCGCAGTGGGCTATGACCCTTTAAGAGTGTGCCCTCCATCCTGATAAATCAGGTCCTGGAAGGCTGTGTGGGATATTAGTGCTGACGTGTGTGGGGACAGTTAGCACAGTTATTAACAGGATACCATGGCTGGAGGCAGCTGGCTCAGCGTGCACCTGAGCTCCTGGAAACCCCAGTTACGGGCTGTCTTCTGAGAGCTGCCTGGAGTGGGAGACTGTCTGCCCACCCAGCCATGTCCCCAAGATGGCTCTACAGTTCCCAACCATCCACCCCGTTCTGCTCTGTTCGTCTTGCAGCCACTTGCAACGCCTGGGGTTAGAAAGAGCTGAGTCCCAAGCCTGGCTCTGCCATGAGGTTATGTGGTGCCCTAAGCACCGCCTTGCTTCACTTTGTCTCTCTCCAGCCAACGGCTTTTCTGGGCCTTGGTTAGCCTGCTCTCTCCATCTCTCCACTCCTGTCCACCCTGGCCTTTTCTGCTGGCCACCTGAACACCCCAGAAAGTGCAGATCCATAGGACATGGTGCTCAGTGGGACCTCATTGTCCTCTCACCAGTCTCAGGCCACACACTTGGGTTTTCAAGAACAGAGACTTTGTCTTTCTTCACAGGGCATGCTTTCTCTTTTGAGCTGTCATTCAGCTGCAAGGCGAGAAGGTCGTCTCAGTGAATTCCAAGTGATCTCATTACTTTGGGGTTTCTCTCCCTACTCTTCAGCTGCTGAACTGTCTAAATTTTGGGTGGGAGTCCACTTAGGGTCTTTGCAAAATGAGCTGGGGGCTGTCTGTGCTCTGGGAGACACCCACCCTAGCTGTCAACCCTTGAGACAATCAGTGCTGCCAGCCCTTGTGGCTGATGCCTTCAGCCTTTGGTTCCACCACCCCTCCCTCCCAAGGCAGACCTTCCCAGAAGTGTTGCAATGTCAGCTACATGAGAGGCCGCTGAGGAACATGGGAAAATCCCGCTGTTCTCTCCCACGATAGGAAGCGCCTTGACGTTCCCCAAGGCCCTCTCTGCTCAGGCACACCACCCACAGCTTTCTCTCTCTGTCCCTCCTGCCCACACACGAACATGGGTTCTCTCCCAGGTTTGTGCCTCCTTGGCCTTCCCCAAGGAAGAGGCCCAGGTCTCCCCAACTTTCAGATCTCTCCAAACTCACCTGAGATTTCTGTTATCCCTGTAACCATGGGCTCAGCCAGGGGAGAGGCAGACTTCTGGGCCCTTCTCAAGGACCCCTCCAGTATCTAATCTTTGATCTTCTTCTCTCGCAGTACAGGGAGTTTTTAATGTCCTTTGGGGTAGGAAAAAATGACTGACAAACAAGACATCAGTCCCAATCCTTTTGTTTTAAACATTTCCCCCTTGCTCTCCACCCCCCGCCCCAATATTTACTTATTTGGCTGCATCAGGTCTTAGCGGGAGCATTGCAGCACGGCAGGATCTTTAGTTGCAGCATGTGGGATCTAGTCCTCTGACTAGGGATTGAACCCAGGCCCTCTGCACTGGGAGCATGGAGTCTTAGCCACCGGACCACCAGGGAAGTCCCCACCTTGTTCTCACCTTCTTCTTTTTAATTGCTCTCTGCTTCTACTGAAATCACCTCTGCCTCTTGTGTAATGTGAGTGAGGCAAAAACAAATGTTATTAGGGAACATGGAAGCAAACACCCTAGCAAATGGCCAGAATGCTATCTGGCCTCATTGAGACAGAGCACTTGGTGGATCTAGGGTGGACCTGGCTTTGTCCACTCTGCCTTTCTTGGAGCCAAGCTCAGACGCTAGAAATTCAGTTTTTGTTCTAGTAGAACATATCCTTGTACATACGGTTCCTACTCCTCTTCTGCCCTAAGGCCAGGCCTGAGACAGCCAGGGAGTGCCCATGGCGCTGGCAGCTGTCCAGATCACTTGACCTAAGAGTGCAATAGGGCACCACCCCAGTCCACCGCCCCTTCTCCAACATCCTGTTCTGCCTCCTCTGCCTGACTCCAGCCTGCAACAAAGAGCAGAGGCCCACCCTCAGGTCCCATTTGCGGCAGGGCACCATCTCCCTCCATAGCCAGACCTGGGTCCTGGCTTCAGCTTTGGTCAGCATCTCAGATTCAAATTTTATTATTGTGTGTATGCGTGAGTGTTAAACCCTTTGTTTCCTTTTATTATTATTATTATACAACCAATGCACATTTGTTATAAAAGTCAGAAAATATGGATAAACAAAAAGAAGAAAATAAAAATCATGTACAATCCCAATATCAAGGGAAAACCCTTCTTAACATCTTGGAGTCTATCCTTATCTCTGCATATTTATTTTTTTCATTTTTATGGAAGAGGAATCAGACAATATGCAGCTATTTTTTTATCAAAAATAATTCTGATATCTTTCTGTTCTACCAAGTATAGTTCTGTGATATCATTTCAGACAGCTAAGTAGTTTTCCAGTGGGCCTTGAAATGCAGCCAGCCATCTCTATTAATGGCCTTTTAAGTGTTTCTAATTTTGTTACATTATTAAAGTAAACTATGAAATTTCTGACATTTGGCTGTTCTTGACCTAAGAGATGGCAGTTTCAGAGGGTTTAACCAAACATAGATAACACCATGATGAGTGTCGTTAAGACTGATCTTCACATAATTTTCTTGGTGACTTGCTTGTGTTTCTAGACATTCCTAGAATAATCCATTTGCTGAGTCAAAAGAGATGCATGCTTTTAAGGCATTCCCTGGTGCCTAAGATGGTAAAGAATCTGCCTGCAACGCAGGAGACTCAGATTCAATCCCTAGGTCAAGAAGATCCCCTGGAGAAGGAAATGGCAACCCACTCCAGTATTCTTGCCTGGGGATTCTCACGAACAGAGGAGCCTGGTGGGCTACAATCTATGGTGTCGTAGAGTCAAACACGACTGAGTGACTAATGCACTTTAATATACTGACCTCTGGCCTGTGCTGGAAGCAGAACAAGAACCCAAGGGACAGGGCTGAGGGAGAATTTCTGGAGCTGGCTATTGGGTGTCCTGGAGAGAAGCCTGGGTTTTGCCCCAGATGAGGGGGTAGAAGTCCCAGCTGCATCCCTCACTAGGATGTGACCCTGGACCAGTAACAGCAGAGGTCAGATGTAATCTGGAAAGCTGGCAGCAGGGTTTTCTTAATGGGACAACTGGTGCTTTGTTGCAAAGATAAAGGTGTTTTGGGCATTCTGAACCTTGTCTATCCTCTGTCATCCTTGAAATTCCTTTGCCTGAGCTTAGGATCCTCTGAACTGTGAGATCGGAGACCCCCTTCTCCTGGAAAGGTGCCTCAGAGATGAGGGCTTTTTACGTGACTCTCAATTGCCTCCGTGGTTTTGACTGTTTAAGGATGGGACTTGGCCTGGAGGATGGACCCAGGCCTGGCTGTGGAGGGAGGTTCTGATGGATTTCTTGGTGGCAGGCCTCCTGAACCATTGAAGCATGCAGACTGAATTTTTAAAATAATTGTCTTTTTTAATGATGTAAAATATGTCATCTAGATTAAAAAATAAACACACTTTATTACTTTCCCAGTCCCTTCTTTCCTCCCAGGGCCAGATGGGGATTGCATGAATATTTCTAGCGTACTTCACATATCTAATAACGCCCTTAGAGGTTCTTCCAGATCTGATGAAAATGTGGAATTGAACTCTGTCCATTGACACTATTCACAGAAAAGAAAGCTAGTGGTAGCAGTGTGTGTGTGTGTGTGTGTGCATGTGTTGGGGGTGGGGACCATCCTATTTTGGAAGCAGCTGGGTCTACAAGTCCAAAGGCTTGGATATTTTATCTTGAGTAACAAAGGAAATTGTTTCTGAGCCCCCCTGATACCTTCTGGGGGGAAGGGGAAAGAAAGGAAAAAAGAAATGACTGCAGCTAAGCAAAACTAGAGCAGCTTCTGGAAAGAGCCAGGCCTTCCCCGACAGCTTTCTGTTAGCCCTCTTGAGCTGCGGCGAATCCAAGAAAATAATTAAAGCTTTAATTTCTTTATACGTCTTCTCTATAGATATTACGGATCCGACAGTTGCTACCTCCTAAGTTATGCACGCGGACCCCTCCAGGGGCCCCGGCGGCTCGCAGAGGCAGAGCGCGGGGTCCGGGCCGCCGCCCGCGGGAAGGAGCGGAGGCCCCCGCGGCCCCGAGCTGGCTGTCAGCCCCGCGGCGGCGGAACAATGGCTCGTGTGGCCGCGGGCCGCGCGGTCCCGGCGGCCGTCTCGGAGCGGGCGCACCTGGGTGATGGGCACCTCCCGAGACTCCCCGGGACGGCGGGCCTGACAGGCGCGAGGCGGCCCCTTAATAGACTGCGCGAGCGTTCTCCGGGAGAAGTCTGCGGCGGTCCCCGAGGAGAGATCATCAGGCAGAGTGGTCCCCGGAGCAGGATTTATTAGCAGACAGGATGGGGAAGTTGATTAGCCTCCGCGGCTGAACGGACATCCTGTCAGACCCGCCTCTTAATCCAATCACTTACCTGTCGAAGGGGAGCCTCCCGCCCCCCGCCCCGCACCGGCCTCCCCCGCTGCCCGCGGGGTCCCTGCTACCTGCCCGCTCCAGCGCTGGGTGCTGCGGCCGGCCCTGGGGCAAGGACCCCCACCGCGCGCTGCCCATGCCCGGGCCTGGGGTCAGGCGACAGGCGTGCCAGTCTCTCCTTTTTTGCCTTGGCCCGCCTGGCCCGCTCTCTGAGTCTGTCTTGCTGTGGCATTCACCTCCAGGTTGCTTTTCTGGATTCCCAGTCCTGATGGCGACCCTCTCCTGCGTGGAAGACTTGCCTTCCGTGGCTCCCTGTTCCGTCCTCAGGAAATACGGCTCCTGGGTCTTGGCCACTTGACCCTGAACCACCTTCCGAGCATCATCCCGCTGTGGTCCCTCTCCCTGGAGTCTCTGCTCTCTGCAAACCCAGCTACTTGCCCCGTTTCCTGAAATGCGCTCCTGCCTGTTGCACCTGTCCTTGCTCCAGTTTGGGGTCTGGCTAGAATGCTCTTTTTTTTTTTTCCAGATCCAATTTGTCCTTGGAGTTCTGGCTCACAAACCTCATCTGCCCTCATTACATCCTTTCTCCTTCCACAGCCAGGTCATCTCTCCCTCCTGTGAAACTTTATCTGTGCCAGGATGCGGACTCTAGTCTGGGATCATGCCTCCAACACTGCCTAGCTTGGACCTTGGGCAAGAGACCTCCCCTGGGCTTCCCCCTTCTGTGAAACAAGATGATAACTCTAAGTTCCTCACTGGGTTGCCGTGAGGACCATGAGAGAGGATGCGTTCAAGAGCCGGGAGTGGTGCCTGGCACGCAGCAGAGCTCAGTACAGGCTTTTACAGACAAGATGGCTAAGTCCTTGTTGAGTGAATGGAGGAACGGCGGCCACGGTGTGGACGTGGAGTGACGTGCCATCTCTCTGGGTGACCCCGTGAGGCTCCATTTCTCGCTGATCTGACCGTGGCAGGAATAGGAGGTGAAGGACCGGGCCCCCTTCTGCTTTGTGTGGCAGGCATTGAGATGTGTGTTCTCCAGCACTTGTCAAGAGTTTAGGAATTCAGACCCTATTGATCCACTGCATCTTCAAAGCCATCAATCATCATTAAGAAACAGGACCTGAGTCCCTGGATGGGACTGCTGGTGCTAGGTAATTTAGAGGATTTTACACACACACACACACAGATGTGACTAAAAGAAATCAGCTAAGACAAGCCGTGAACACTCAGCAAGCAGCTGGGAAAAGAACCCAGGGAACTTGCAGAGAGCAAAGGTTGTTGGCCAGGAACTATATCGACTTCTGCTTCCTGGTAGAACTGCAGATCTCTGTGGTTGATTGTAATTGACTTTGAGCACTTCGCTTTGGTAAATGTGAATGCTGAGGTCTCACCCAGCCCCTCACCCCCTGCTGATGCCTGTCCTTTCTGGCTGCTCACAACCCACCTAGGTCAATGTCAAGGTCACTGCTTTCTGACCTGGGCCACCTTCCTTATTTCTCTTTCAGAAAACCAGAGTAACATTTCCCAAGCCACAGTCATCAGGCAACATTCCTATGCCTTGGTGTTTTTCAGGGATCTCTAGCCATGCCTAGAAAATGTTGGCATGGCAGAACATACCAGCGGAATGGGATTCAGAGCACCTGTGGCAGAGTCAGACCCCGACACTGATTAGTCATGTGATCTCAGGGGGAATATTTAACCTCGCTGAACTTCAGTTTCCCCATCCATCAAATGGGAATAATATTTGGTCTCCCATCTGCAGAGGAGAAATTTAAGGGTAAAATGAAGTAATTGTTAGAACATACTTTTACAAGTACAGTACTGTACAAGATTAAGGCAGAATTACTATCATGAGATTTTTCCTAAAATATTGATTGCCCTCAATGCTAGCTGGTGCGGAAGTAGAGGTGGCCAAGCCTCAGGCTGGGTTCACAGGCTAACGGGGGGCAGTGCGGGGGACAGATGTGGTGACACTGGCCAAGGCGCCAGGCCAGAGGAAGTCAGTGCTGGGGAAAGGTGTGACTAATGTGCTAGGAGAAAGGACCGAAGTAGCCCCCGTCCCAGCCCTGGGGACCAGCTGGGCTCCAGGAGGCAGGGGACTGGAATAGTTGGGGAAGAGGGTGACAGAGGGGACAGCAAGGGTAACAGCCTGGGGACAGGAAGGTGGTCGTGCGGCAGAGAGGGGGGCAGATGAGGTGGGAAAGCCGGTGGGAGCCAGATATGCCGGGCCCTGTGGTCAGTGAGTGCAGCCTATGTGGAAGGGTTCTCAGCAGGGAAATGACAAGATCGGGGCAGTCTGGAACCTTGGGAAGAGGGCAGGCTGGGTGTGGAGCAGGGGCTGGAGGGGAGGCAGGAGGTGGGCAGGAAGGTACTGCCCCGTCCAGATGAGAGGTGGTGAGGCCTGAGGACCTGGGAGCTGCGGGACCTACTTCTGGCCACTTGGCTGGACTAGAATGTTTCTAGAGGCAGAGAGCTCATTCTTCCCTTGACATTGCTTTGTGTCTTAGATTACCTCTGATTGAAAAAAAATGAATTCCTTGTTAATGAAGTCTTAAAATAAGTGGGCACTGATTCTTTTAGGGGCCCCTACTGCTCCTCAAACTGTCTGCTTCCTTGGTACCTTGAGTGCCAGGCCCAGGGGTGTGGTTTTTATTCCCCAGGCAGAGGAATCCCTGGAGGCCTCCAAGTCAAGAGGACAGTGAATAGGCAAAGCTTTGCTTCAGAAAGACGACTCTGGCTGGGCTGGGGCCGAGGCAGGGCAACGTGCTGTCAGTCTTTGCACCTATTCATACCCACTGCGCTCATTAGCAGACTTGAGGGCAGATAACCAGTGATAACCATTTCTCTTACCAGGCAAACAGGTCCAAGGCCAGTGGTCATGGGTATGGACTGAGTGGAGACACATGCAAAAGTTGGTATCTTAGGGTCATCCTGGGTCTAGGGGTCATCGAAGGCAGTGCCAAACTCTGTGGGCCCACTGGAGTCTGTCTCTCTGCAGAACTAGAGATGGCAGGCAGATGCAGCAACTTGGGGTCTTGGGGTGAAGAGAATCTCCAGCTCTCCTCTCAACCTGATGTGGGGAGGCAGCCGGAAGGCTGTAGCAGATGGCCATGGTGAGGACTGGTGTTCCGTGGGAGAGGCGGTCAGCTCTCTACCCTGAGATCAAGACTTCACCCGCCCCAGGACCCCTTCTGACCTTTGCGTTCTCCAAAAAAAAAGTCAAGGTGATGACAAGACACATCTATCGCATCTCAGCCATCATTGCAGTTGAAAGATGGGCCCGGAGCAGGTGGACTGCTTCAACCATGATGGATGAGGGCAGTGACAGCTCTCGGGAGAGCTGCGGGAACCTGGCAAGTGCTCACTCAGCTATGACTCCTCTGGTAGCAATTTGACAAGATCAGAGCACTTTATGGAAGTGGAGAGTTTGGGGACCGCGGGGTTTGCTTGGCCCGGGGACTCTGTCTGCTGAAGCCTTCTGCTAGCAACACGGGGCGGGCATCTCTCCTAGGAGGGCCAACGTGGGGAGGAGGGAGGGGCTCAGCCTCTGAGGCCTCCTGGCCTGGGCTCCACCTGGGCCTTGCCTGCTTCAGTCTCCCCCGGCTGCTGACCAGGGGACACCAAGGTGGCTACAGCACCAGGGGACACCCCACGAGCCAGCTGGGCACGTCCCTCGAGCCAGGCTGGAGATTCAGACCTTCCTCATGGCACTCTCCATGGAGACTCTGGGTGAAGGGAGGCCTGGGACCAGACGGCCCCACCTGTCGCTGGCTATGAAGCTTCACTTGAACTTCGTCTGTTGGATCATCTTGTTTGGGGCTTGGTGGCTGGGGGTTAAGTGAGGTAATCTACAAGGAGCATCAGCTTGTCCCAGGTGTTCAACTGATTTTGCTTTTCTCCCTCACTGATTCTGTTGTCCTTTGGTGCATCTCTTTATTCATTCTGCAAATGTGATGGAGCTCTTCCTGTATGCCAGGTGCTGGGCTTGGGCCCAGGAATTAGGTGTGGTCCTCAAGATGAGGCGCTCACAGATGCATCCAGGATTGGATCAGGCAGTCCTCTAGCCTCATTGCCCCTGGTGGTTGCGGGGTGGAGGCGTTCACCTTGCAGAACGATGGCGGGCACAGCCGTGGCCCTAGTGCCCCCAGCCTCTGTGCCTCCTGGGCATCCTGGCTTCTGTACATCAGGTCTGCTCTGAAGCCAGGATTCGGGGGTTCTTCACTTTAGAGGGTCAACCTTCCTAGATCTGGGAGCGAACCCCCAGCATGGGCAGCTCAGCTCAGACTAGTGGAGCTAATCAGAGTCTGTCCTTGGGATTTTATACTCTAGTTGAAAGAAGACCTCTTCCTTTCTGTTGTAAAGACATAAAATGTAAGCTAGAAGTTCCATGCAGGTGTGGTTCTGGCCTTGGGGGAACAGCTGACTCATCACAAAAAACCTCCTTGGAGAGAAGCAGAGAAGTGGAGAGAGAGAGCCCTGATTGAACTTGAATCCTTGGTTCCAATAAGCTCTTAGTCCGGCGTCTTTATTTTAGTCTCACTTTTTGAGTGAATGCCCATATTTCCCTTTTGGGTTAAGCTGTTTGGAACTGGGTTTCTGCCACTTGCAACAAAGGATTCTAACTCTTATTAATATATGTAGCGCAGCCCCTGGCTGATAGCAAGGGCTCGGTAAGCGGTAGCTCTCAGGGTTCAGTCAGGCTCTCTGCAGCTTGACCTTGGTGCCGAATTTCCATCTACGTTTACATCTGGCCGTCTTGTCATGAGGACTTGTGTATTCTCTCTCTGCCACCCAGCCCAGCATCTAGGGTTCCCTCCCTGAAGCACAAAGCTGGTGGGCAGCCTGAGGCCTGAGCCTGCCTGGAAACGAAGGTAGCAGCACCAGCCCATGTAACACAACACCATGAGAAGTGGCAGCCCAG